GGGAGACCCGGAAAACCCAACAGGCCTGCCACAGCAGCCCCAGTAACCGAGCCCACAATGTAGTTGGTGAGAAAGTAGAGACTCCTGACAGTGAGGTGGTGCAGGTACGTTCTCTGAATAATCAGCTTGTGTTTTATTTCCTGGGATGAGGCATTGACACCAAAACATATTTAATATGCACAGGTTTCTTTTCTTTGCTTCACTTTTCTTTTCTAAATCCCAAAGAGGAATCTCTGTGTTAGACTTCAACTTTAGGTATAACGAAAGTGAATTTGCACTCTATTTTATAAAACAGTTTAGAAGCACCTGCACATAATTTCACAAACTTCTACTCGGTCTGGTATTGGTTGCTGTTTTGATCTTTAATATCATTTTTGTAAGTCCAATCACAACACATAGATCAACATGGGTTAATTTAATCTAAACTTTTTCAAAAAGTGTCTTAATATATGGTATGATATACATAATTAATGATGAAAAAACATTTTTAACAAAAATCTATGGCTAAAACACGTCATAAAGATTCTCAGTGAACAGAATGCTAAAATGTTTATTTTGTAACATTAAATATGTAACTTCTCATGCTGCCTCTTTTGATTTCTGTCTATAGATTGTCACTCTTTGTACCATGAAACATATCAACATATTGTCCCTGTGGAAAATATATTGAGCAACAGATGTACATTGTAGTAATTTGAGTATGCTCTCATGTGTCTCCAGGAGATCAGCTACCTGGACCAGGTATTAGATGCTGCCTCAGAAACACCCACCAATGGAAACTCCTCCCTGTTAGAACACACTAAACCAATCAGCATCAGCAACACCTCTCATTCTGTCTGTGCATCAGCCTCCTCTCCTGTCAGTCACCAGTCAATCACTGTGGAGGGGCAGAAACAGACCACATTCCTCCACCAGGAGCACTCTGCCCTGAGAGCCAACGGGCACGTGCAGGGGGAGGGCAACCAGCCGAAGTTTGAGCTGAGAGCATTTCAGGAGGAGAGGCGGCCAGCAAAACTCTTCTCCCCTGGAGAGGAGCAGCAGATCAGGGTGACTAGGAGACGACCCTCAGAGGAGGTAAACAGTCTGTTACATAATGTATCAGACATAACAGGCACAGTATTCAAACACAGTGACAAAAACAACACATCAGTTTGAGTGGTTACCAGTTCGATTGTACAAACATTTTGAGTTGGTGCTACCAAATATCATTAAATGTGAACTTTCCCCCTTATCTTCAGCTAGTACTTGACTTTAAACAATTTTGAAAAATTTTTGTTTGCTTTGTTGCATGATACACAATACAAACTTAGGGTAACTTATGAAAAGTTATGTTTAAAACACAATCTTAAACTGAAAATGAATGAAAGTACTTCTTGATATCAAAATGTGTTCCCCTTCTCGTGGTAGCAATTTTAAAACCAGATGTTTATCTTAAAGAAAAAAGGTACTTTTGTATATTTGTTAAGCCAAATAAATAATACTCATCACAAAACATGAAAACAGGAAATTACAATGTAGAGGAAGGAAGTTTTAAGATTGAAAGTGTTTTGTAACCCTGAGTGTCACAAGTACATAATGTGACAGCTGTGCACAAAAGGTCAGTTGTTGTCACATTTTCATCAGAAAGCAGTGATGACCAGTGGAAACTGTTAATCAACCATAGTCTTTGGTTTATGAAAAATAAACCTGCAAAGCCAAATCATTTTCAGTTGAGTCAAACTGTTCTTGGACTGTCCTCACAGGCACTGAAACACTATCCACTAAATATGTATACATTTTTAAAAATTGTAAATTAATATGTAATGATAAGTTAATGCAAATGGCTGTTTCCCCCTATCAGGTTCAGGAGCTGGAGCGGGAGCGCCAGGAGCTGATCAAAGACCAGGCTGTGAAGAAAAATCCTGGGATCGCCCAGCGCTGGTGGAACCCACCTCAGGAGGTACCTCACACGCAGTCTTTGTGTCCAAGTGGAACTCTGCTGACTTCCTGGTAAACTAATTGATTCTTTGGATGTTTCTTTCTTTCATTGTAACATTCAAGGTTCCTTTGGAAGAACAGCTGGATGCAGAGCAGCTTGAGTCTCTCAGGAAATACCAGGAGAGGAAACAGCAGCGACAGAATTATCCTTACACATACACACAGGTAACACACATCAGGAGGCTTACCATATTATGTTGGTGCTCTCTGCAGATATTGTATTTGTAGAGCTTTTATATTTAATTTGAGTGGGATTTTGCACATTACAGTTCTGTTTCACTTTCAGCCATCCCCTCTTTTTCTTCTTTTCCTAACATTTTCTTTTGTATTCTCATTTGTTTGCAGCCCCAGGTGTCAGGTCCTCCCACACTGGTGACCTTTGGACCAGAGCTAACCAGGAAGGACGACATAGTGGAGGAGCAGATCGACTTCTCGTCTGCCAGGAAGCAGTTTCTGCAAGGGGAAACAACCAAGAAGGACGTACTTCCTCAGATATATTCTGCAAAACCCTTCTCGAAGTCCATAACCAGGGGCAGCCACATAAGCACTGACAGTGTTGCCGAAACCGGAGAGAGTCGTGTGACCTGGTCTGATGAAGGAATTGTGGGAGAATTCACTTGTGCACATGCTGTAATGACAATCCTGCCTGAGGAGGAAGAAGTGAAGGGTCATTTACACTCAGCTTTTCACCCAGAAGAATCTGACTCAGGATTGGACGAGTTATCTGTCCGCTCTCAGGACACTACTGTGTTTAGCTTGGATAATGTTTCCGACAGCGGGGCTTCGCTACCCCCTACCCCGTTGCCACTTACCCCAGTGTCACCACCTACCCCTCAACCCACCACACCAGTCAATGGGCAGACCAATGTCAGTCCAACAGAGGAAGAGCTGGAGTATCATGCTGGGGTACTTGTCCAAAATGCAATCCAACATGCCCTGGCAGCTCAGGACACAGGGGGCTGGCAGCCCTCTGACTTGAGTTCTACACAGCTGAGCACCCCTGTGTCTCCATCCTCAGCTTCTGCAAGTAGCCCAGTGCCAGTTTCTTCCTCCCCTGTGTCTTCTGGTGAAGCTCCCAGTTTCCAGTCACCTCTGGCCTCCAGTCCTGCTCCATCCAACTCATCCCCTCAGCCAGACAGGCGGCCAGATGTAAGAGTCATTTCTGAAGAGAAGCCCTCAGAATCACAACAGGCACAGCAGCAGCAGTCCTCCAGTCCGGCACAGCAACCACAGCTCCAAACACCTTCTCCGCCTCCTTCTAAGCCCACCTTTCCGCCACAGCGACCCAAAGATGGAGGCCCCAGGATCAAAATCCAGTCTTCCTATGCCAGAGCACTTGCTTCCTCAGCCCCAGCTCCAGCAGCTGCTACTACTCAAGCAGTTCCAGTTACCAGACCAACCCCAGTTTACCGCCCCCCTTCTCCACCAAGCCCGGACAAAACAGAGTTCAGCTACTTCAGCAAATACTCGGAGGCAGCTGAACTGCGCAGCACAGCAGCAACAATGCACGGCCCTGAAGCGGAAGCGGCCAGTGGCCCATTCCGCCTGCGCTCCAAGAAACAGCGAACATTGTCCATGATTGAAGAGGAGATCAGAGCAGCTCAGCAGAGAGAGGAGGAGCTGAAGAAACAGAGGGAGGTGAAAGCTGTTGTTACTGTCCACCCCAGCAGCAGTCATGGTCCTGTGAGGACGGGGGTGCGGCATACCACCATTACCCCAGCTGATAAGATGAAGAGCAATAGCCTGCCAGCAAGACTCACACTGACAGCGAGGACAGCACCAGGTTAGTTAGTACTGTAATGCTGCACACAGGTAACTGACTTGACCTCTAACTCGGGAGGGATAAAATGATTCCAGTTCATTTTACTGGCATAAAAACTGCTTACCCTACTTACTGTGCACTGGGCATACCTACAAGCCATTTCTGCTAATATTAGTCTTAATATTAAAAAAATGGAAATTTTGAACAATTTGTATGTGTTTTTTCTTGTGTGTGTAATATATGTGAAGTTTTGTAGTTCAGAGAGAAAAACAAAGCAACACAAAATCCTGCCTCTGATGGACAGGCTGCTTGACAATACACCATTTCTCAGATATGAGATGCAGCCGTGTTACCTGGCGGATGATAGATTTAACTCCCTGTTTTTATGTGTGTAGGAAAGATTGAGAAAGTTCGACCTGCACCGCCTGTCTCGCCCTCACCCTCAGAGGGCACCCTGTCTGATGCCGGCAGCGAGGACTCTGTAGGATCACGACCCAAAAACTTCATGGAGACGCTTATGGAAGACTATGAAACACACAAGGTGAAGAGGAGGGAGAAAATGGAGGACAACAGTGTAAGTAGAAGAAATTAGAAATTTGACTTGTTTTCCATGGATAAACTAAGTATCTGCACAAAAATCAAAAGAAATTCTGATAAAAATTCATAGATTTCGACCTCAGACAAGCACAGAACAAAATACAACAAATCCAGCTTTGTATAGATTTTACTTTCAGTGACCAACAGCTGGTGCAACCCTCACTCTTAACTGGTAGGTGCTAAAATGATTTTACTCTAACTAAAGGAACAATAACAAAAGAAACCTGTCAGATTTATTAGAGCGTATTCACAAACTTAGGTCTTTGCTAAACCTCTGACCACAGAAGGTGTGTAACAAAAGCCTGCTGGTGTGAGCCAATACTAGACAACATAAAGGGGAATTTCCCAGCTTCATGCTGGACTTAGACTTGAAACTGAGCCAGACATTGGGTGATTCCTGTCCTGACCCCATCAGGTCTGTCTTGAAAAAAAAAAAGTAGTGAATTTGGCTGATTAAACTGTAAAATGAAAGGTTTATAAAAATGTACTAAATCACAAAATTCCATTCCATTCCATTTTCCAAACTGCTTAGTCCCAAACGGGGTCACGGGGGAGCCAATCCCAGCCAGCTGCGGGCGAAAGGCGGGGTACACCCTGGACAGGTCGCCAGCCCATCGCAGGGCCAACACACAGACGAACAACCACTCACACACACAAGCACTCCTACGGGCAATTTAGAGACACCAATCAACCTATGCTGCAGGTCACTGGACTGTGGGAGGAAGCCGGAGCACCCGGAGAGAACCCACGCAAGCACGGGGAGAACATGCAAACTCCACACAGAAAGACCCCAGGTTGGCCGGGGCTCAAACCCAGAACCTGCTTGCTGTGAGGCAACAGCGCTAACCACCGTGCCACCGTGCTGCCCTAAATCACAAAATGACTTGCATAATGAAGAAGAAAACAAATCTCTTTAACATACTCAGAAAATGATAAGTTTCACTTCTCCATGTTCAACCTGTTTGTTGACAAATCATTATCTTTTTAAATCTAGGTAACTGAGTGTACTTTAAACAGCAGCAGGGCTGTTGATGTTGTTGCTACTGTCTGTCCATCATGTGCTGACTTTGTGTACTGTTGTTTCTCTCCTGCTGGTCGGTCAGTACACCCATTTGTTGCTGGCCAGCGAGGTAACCACTGAGGTACCTGTCACACCCCAAACCTGTTCACTCCATTAACTGCCTTTACTGACAGACCTGGGTCAGACTTAGCTTTGTGTACCTGAGCATTATGGTTTTATAGATGGATTAAGACATAGCAGAAAATACCCACATACAGACAAGTCACAGGAGTGGGGATTTTCAATTTGTTACTCTCCATTAAATGTCCATTGTGGGTGAGTCAGTCGTAGGAAACACAAATCATTTCACTTGGTCTTCCAGACTTGAAACTGGTCCAGTAACCAACATGGGAATGTATTGTTTTGTGTGTGAAACCCTGTGTTTCACCCAAAATGTAAAGGCGCTCTGTAAAGGAAACCCAGAAAGTAATGTATCTGGTCCCAGGTCTGCTTGTGGTCTCACTGCTTTATTGTTTTGTTCTGTGGTGAGGGTCTTGCATGTCCTTGACCATGGATTTGGTGTGACCTTTGACCTCTCATGCATATGTCTTCTGTATACAAAATGTATACAGTACCAGTTAAAAAAAACCCCACTTAATTCCAAATAAAATATGTGCACTATGACTATAGCTAATTCCATAAAAAAAACCATGATAATCTTTAAAATATAATAGTAACTAATTTAATTTTATTTTTGAAATATTGCATAGTAAACCTACAAACCTTTGACCATAATGTGGGTATATAGAGGTATGAAGTATTCAGGTTTATTCTTGCTAATAAACAGCATACATAATTTAAAGAAGTACAAAAAAGTTACAGCATGTAGTATGGTAAGAGAAAACCGCAGCCATTATATCAGACCTCTACCCACAACCCACCTCACCGTCACCCTCCTTGATTATCTTGCTCAGAAAGAAATCTGTCCCACATGTGAAGATATGTTTATTAGATTCCAAGAGTGCATGTGATCATGCATGTCTTGACATGAGTGTGTGAGACGGGTGGTGATCAAAAACATAAAATATGAAACATTTCATGTTAGCATTAATCTTTCCCTGAAATAGGCAAAGAGTAGCTATAGTTTGTGGTTTATTTGGACAAATGTAGCTCAAGGTGATTAGCCTTGAAACCTTTTACTGGAGGATGTCTTTAATCAAGCGCTCCTGCAATGCCTGACATACACTGCATGCCATATTAACAACACTGTGGTGTGTGTTTTTGTGATTGTGTTGTCAATGTGTCCCTTAAGTGGCAGAAAAGCATGGGTTTTACCCCCCCCCCCCCAAAAAAAAAAGTTGGCTAATGCTAAACGCTAACTGATGTTGCTTTGAATGCATATGCATCTGATTGGCTGTTTTGTAACCGGCAGGTTCTGGAGGCCACTCGTGTTACTAGGAGGAAAAGCGACATGGCGTTGAAGTGGGAAGCCGGCATCTACGCCAACGAGGATGGAGAGGAAGAAGAAGAGGAGGAAGAGGAGGAGGAGGAGTAATCAGCTCCTTTCAGAGACAGTTAAGGGACTGAGTGGAGAAGAATAACAAAACGGAATGAAAAATGCAAAGAGAAGGAGCAGAGGAGAAGACGAAATAGGAAACAGTATTTATTTTGCTAATAGTGTTGTGGTGATCACATGACCCATTGGCTTGACCAATGGGACTCATCGACGGCGGAACAGAGTGTTAAGAGTATGTTAAAGACATTTGAAGTATTGAGGTGAGTTTGGAGAAAGAAAAGGTCAGCGATACTAGAGACTTTGAAAAGGATTTATGGTGGGTCAGCGGCATTCAGAAGATTATTTGAGATAAAAGGATTTTGCTAGGTGGTTGATGTCGAATGAATTAAATATTCATAGGATTTTTCACTTATCTGCGATTGTATTGTTGAAAGCTTTTATTTCAAAAGGCTGCTCGTGGTTCACTGATGATGGTTTTGGTGATGTGTGTTTGATAATAACCCCAGTCATCTTCAAAATGTGTGGAAAGGTTTTGATTAGAGATGTGTGTAAAAGAGAAGAGGCCTAATCACACACTCACTTCTACAATTTCAGTTAATGTTAGCTGGACTTCACAATGCCACAGGCAGTTTTTTTATAGGATGTTAAGCAAATGATACCTAATGCATCATTTTCAGAACTTGTATTCTGCGTTATGCAGTGCCACAATACTCCACAGCACAGATATAACACACATACGGCATATTGTTAGGAGCCTTCACATTGCTTTCAAGCATCTGTAGGAAATCTTAAGTGCCGATTTGAGGGTCATGGTGCTTGGATGTTTAAATCCTAGTGAGCAAAACTAGCATGAAAATGCAACTTTGCCTGCCAGTAATTTTTGAATGCACAATACTTATGATGTAGTTCATCCTCTCCAATCCTGTATCACTACAGTTTCAGAAACTAAGCACCTGTATTAGATAGAAAATCTGTCTGTAATCACTACTCTTCAGTGACTTCACATCAATGAAGTGCAAACAGCAGGAGACAAATGGAGAAGGGGGAAGTTAACAGCAGCTCATGTTTGCATCATTTCAGACAATGTGTATTAATTAAAGGGCTGGGGTTATAAAAAACAAAAGCACTCATTTTACCTTTGCTGGCTATGTTGCTTTATGGACCTGTGCTTTCTGATGTAAGCAGTTGTTTCATGTATTATACTGAGGTAGGATTGTGTATTTGATATATGAACGTGTATGTTGAGATTCCAGCTGGGCAACCGTCAGCTATGTACTATCGCTCGCTAGCTGAGGATAATGTTTGATGAGAAAAAAAACTTTTTTTATACAAACTTGTTTTACCAAAACAGAATGTTGTTATTTAGTCAGTCAAGCCTCTCAAGTCTATTTAAGAAGCATTGATTATGTGCATGGAACTATGCAGAAACAAGCACACAACCAGCAGCAAAAAGAAGGCAGTTGGAAATCAGAATTTTGTTTGTCTTCACTAACATACTATAAGTTGGAGTTGTCTGCTTTTTTTTCTGAATATATTGTGGGATTTGATTTTTGCAGGACAATGAGATTTTCTATTTTGTTAAATCTGCAAACAAGTAATGCAGTACAGGCTTGTATGAGTATGATGACACCGTGGACGGTCCAGTTGTGAAAAACAGCTTCAGAATACAAACAGTAAACACATAACAAACACAGTGTGATGATGCCCTGGAGCCTAAAGGACTGTCTGTGAGTATTAAAAGTAGAAATGTGTCAACATGGCTGTAGATACAGTCTTTTGAACCACTGCAGCTGAACAGGAGCAAAACAATTATGCTTTTCAGCTTTTGTTTTAAAGCCT